TGCTGTTGTCAGTATTTGTTTATGAAGTCTTGTATACAGGAACAAAAAGGAACAAAAGACTGTTAAAAACAAACTGCCAAGAGGGGGATTTGTGTAGTTTGCCATTGTTGATCCTCTAAAAAAAATGCTAGTTGCCTGGCTGTCATGCTGATGCTTGCTTTTAGTAGTTTGATTCACCCACAACAAGTATAGTGTTATACCCCCATCGATCATTCGGTGATACAACAATGCCAAAGGAATAGACACTAGATAAAACACAGGTCTCTAATTTCAGAGTTGTGGTGTTCAGTGAACTTGGAGAAAGAAATCTATGGCGAGTAAAAAAAAAAAATCATTAAGATTTCCCTTAAAGCAGTATTAAACCCAGAACCAAAAATGGATTATATTGTAGCTTACCAAATATTAGAGGTGGTGGCTGCATCAGTTTTCTTTTCTTTGTTTTTTTCCCTTTCTGTTTTCACCTGATGATCTGGCCAGTGATACACCTCCTGTATTACTGAGACACCACTTTGGAGTTAGGAGCCAGTTCACAGCAGACAGCAGCATTGTCAGTCTGGGGGGGGGGGGGGGGGGGGAGTGTTAGACCCCATGTACACAGGACACTTCTGAATGATGGAAAATGACTGCTGAAAAACGTAGGTTAAAAAAAAAACGTTTTGTTTAGACGCGTTTGCATAACGCATTTATGTGTGTTTGCATTTAGAAGCGTTTTTAAAAGAAAAGCGCCGGAGGAAAACCTCCCAAATGCCCAGAATCCACTGAAAAGTGGTGCATTATTAACTAACTATTTCAGACTGTTTCAGAGAAATACAGAGAGTAGAAGCAGAGAGAGCACTATGTGTTGAGATTAGCTTAGGTGTGAGTTGCTCATTAACATTTCTTTTGTTTCCAAGGGTGGGATAGGTGTCTGGTAGAGTGAGTCATTAAGTTCACCTGGCAAGGGGTCTGCATGAGGAATTTGAGGTGTGAATGGTCATTAACATATCTTTTGTTCCAAGGGTGGGAGAGGTTTGAGGGTGTGAACTGGTTATTACAATGTGTGACAAGCTTGGTAGGAACATCCTGTGTTCAGTGTTTTGTGTCCATCTGAGTACCTTGAAAACGATGTGCATGCATTTTTATGATGAAAAAAGGCTCTGGACAGCATCGGGAACTGGAAGAGTTAAAAAAAATCTAACGCTTATAAACTGATTTCACACATTTACAAACGTTTTGCGTTTGAACCCCTGATAAAATTGACTGCTGAACAAGTTTTCTGCGTTCAAAAAAATGACTGTAAACTCAAATGCCTGTAAACGACTGTAAACAAAGATGTGTTCATGGATACATAGGAAAAACATTAGGGGGTGAGTTCAGGGGCTGCTGAAAAAAAAAACAATGAACAGCTCCTAAACGTGAGTTTATCAGCTTGCAGTGTACATGAGCCCTTAAATGTACAGTTGTGACCAAAATTATTCAACCCCCACTGAAATTGAGTGTTTTGGCCAGTTTGACATTGCTTTTGATCATTCAGTCATCTTGCTTACATTTACATTAAAGAGGCACTTGTAGGTCAGGACAAATATAACATAACAGTTATAATGAAATAACCACAAATGTCTTTTCTGTGCTCACAGCATTATCAGTTTTATTCAACCCCCAAGTGACATTCAATCTTAGTACTTAGTACAGCATCCTTTTACAGTTATAACAGCTTTTAAACGTGAAGCATAGCTTGACACAAGTGTCTTGCAGCGATCTAACGGGTATCTTCGCCCATTCTTCATGGGCAAAGGCCTCCAGTTCAGTCACATTCTTAGGCTTGCGCACTGCAATGCTTTTTTAAGTCCCACCAGAAGGTTCTCAATCGGATTTAAGTCTGGTGACTGCGATGGCCACTCCAAAATGTTCCAGCCTTTCTCTGCAACCATGCTCTAGTGGACTTGGAGGTATGCTTGGGATCATTGTCCTGTTGAAAGGTCCAACGTCTCCCAAGCCTCAGGTGTGTGACGGACTGCATCACGTTTCCATCCAATATCTCCTGGTACTGAAGAGAATTCATGGTACCTTGCACAGCTGAAGCTTCCCTGTACCTGCAGAAGCAAAACAGCCCCAAAGCATGATTGACCCTCCACCATGCTTCACAGTAGGCAAGTGTGTTCTTTTCATCATAGGCCTTGTTCTTCCTCCTCCAAACATAGCGTTGATCCATGGGCCCAAACAGTTCTAATTTTGTTTCATCAGTCCACAGAACACTATCCCACAACTTTTGTGGTTTGTCCACATGGCTTTTGGCATACTGCAGTCGACTCTTCTTATTCTTTGGAGACAGCAAGGGGGTACGCCTGGGAGTTCTGGCACGGAGGCCTTCATTACGCAGTGTGCGTCTTATTGTCTGGGCTGAAACTTCTGTACCACATCTGACAAATCTTTTCTCAGTTCCTCAGCAGTCACACGGGGACTTCTCTCCACTCTACGCTTCAGGTAGCGCACAGCAGTCGAAGTCAGCATCTTCTTTCTGCCACGACCAGGTAGCGTTTCAACAGTGCCCTTTGCCTTGAATTTGCGAATGATGCTTCCTAAGGTGTCTCTTGGTATGTTTAACATCTTTGCAATCTTCTTATAGCCATTGCCCTTCCTGTGAAGAGAAATCACCTCTTCTCTTGTCTTCCTGGACCATTCTCTTGCCTTCACCATGTTTGTAACCACACCAGTAAATGTCTAGAAGGAGCTGAGTATCACAGTCATTTTAAAGCTGCCTAATTGGTGCTTATTATGCTTGATTGCTGCTCGGTGACATCCACAGGTGTTTTCAATACCTGATGGAAAGCACCTGTATGAACCTCTGTTCTTCAGAGTGGTAGTCTTTAAGGGGTTGAATAATTGTGGCAATGAAGAAACCACATAAGAACCATTTACTACTGTATTACATAAACAATTGATGTCATTTTAGTTGCATTTGGGTAGTTACAACGTCCTTGTAGGATTTGATTCTGAATACAATTCCAAATGTACACTATAGTCCCTAAACCCCTTTACAGCATTGGGGGTTTAATAATTTTGGTCACAACTGTATTAGCAGATTTGAATACAAATAAAAAATTGAAACCAGACTCCAGCTAACACTTTATAATCAGTTACAGCTAACATTTTTGTCCTTTTGGGATAAAGGTTGCACATGAATAAATAAAAGCTGATCAATTTAATCACCCCTGCCAGTGGTAAATGGATGGTCTCATCCATGTAAACTGGTACATTCTGCTAGAGAGCATGAACAAGAATTGGTAAGCTGCAATATAAGAAATGTTTACTTTTGGGTTTGATACTGCTTTTACATTATTTTCTCCGAGTTTATTGACAGCATAGCACTGCAGTTAGATTTCTGTGTTTTTCCTTTTGTGAGCAAAAGGTCGAGAGACTCTACTAGTGAGGGTCTGTTCACACTAGTTCACAGTAGGGAAAGATATATTCCTGTGCACCACCCCAAACACAGGTTGCAAATGTAGTGCATTTGCCAGCGCCGGCCTACAATGGATCGCATGATACAAAGGTACCATGCAAACTGGTTGCTGTGCATTTCAAAATGTAATGCATGCACCAGTCCTGTACTTCATTACAAAGTATGAAGAATTTGTTTAGCATCTTTATATCATCACCTCTAACCTGTCTGTTATGGGAAGATGGCTGGTGCTGGGCTGACAAAGCTAGAAAAAATGAGTAACACTCACATTACAAAGTGCCCCATGCATCTTGGTCAAAGCCCTAGTGTCTGCTGGACTGTGCAGTATTTAGGCACACTGACCATCTGCTAAGACTGAAAAGTGGAGATAAAACAATGAATTCATGGGGTGTTGGAGCAATATGTGTGTGACTCTAATGTTTTCTATGACTTTAGTTGGGCTTTAAATTTTTGGGTATAATCTAATCTTTGTTCTTTAATATCGACGGACCTCTGATGAAATTAATTTTTGCCATTGGATCAAAATTCAGCATGTAGTTACTCTGAAGCTTATGGATAATTACTTCTATTTATTGGATTATCTTGGAAACACAATTTTTTCCAGAAAAATGTCAAAATGATTAACTAGTCGTTCTAAAATGGTACACTGACACTTGGACACTAATGCCGGCCATTGACGGTTCGAAAATCAGCCGATTTTTCGTCCGAAAGATTAATTGGCTGATTTTCTCACTGTTAGTGGGTTAATTGGTCGACTGGTTTTCGGGTTTTTTTGGACTTTTGGATTATTGGTCATGTTGGAAAATTCGTGGAAAACAACCGTTTTTTTTTGCAGCAGTGATGGCCAAATCATACGATCGTTTTAACGGAAAAAAATATGCTCATGAGCTGTGACCTAGAAGGAACAGACGTTTTGGCTGTTATATGAGGTGAACTTTATGACTTGGTCGGCCGACTTTTGTAATCGTTGGTGGTAACGTCGGTTTAACGAACAACCAATTTTTCGTTTATCATTCAAAAAAACGCGTGGTTTTCAAGCCGTCTATGGCGTGCATTAGTCTTAGTCTTAAAAAATGATTCAGCATCTCTGATGCAATACTTTAGATTGTACAATTAGTCTCTTTATTCACAGTATAATGGAAACACACTTGCAGTAACTATATGTTGGTACCCTCCACATTTGTGATCCATATGTACTTGATTGGTGGGTTGGATAAGGGGATAACTAAATGTGATCAGTGCCCAAGCTGAACCAATTTATTCATCTTTTTTTCCCAAGCAAGGAGCAGCCAAGTAAAAGGAATACAGAAATATACTCTGATGTTTAAAACAATGGCTTGATTCTGCCTTTTTCTATATCAATGTTCTACACAGCAGGAATGACAGCAGAGAGAGGTTTCATTTGCTTGTCTTATCTTTAACTACAAATCATGCATCGGCAAATATATTGGAATACCGTATTTTATGAGTAACCCACAGTGCTACAATCATTATTCTTCTATGTCTTTTGTCAGGCTCCTTTTTTTTTTAGGCTGTGAAAGAAGTGCCTTCTGCTGAAACCATGAGCAGCGATTTTGTTATGCTTCCTCCTGCAAAGAGTGGGAATTCTGTCAGATTAAAAACAAAGTAAGTGCAATGCCTCAGATAATATACTACTAGCTGCTTATCCAGATTGTAATAGTAGGAGGAACAATACGTAATCTTAAATGAGAAATTTCAAGAAGCCATTGTATTTTTTTTTTTTTAAAAAAAAAAATGTGTTTTTAAAATAAATTGTATTCTCTATCAATGTAATCATTGCTATTTTTTAATTTGTGTTGTAATTAAAGAATATGTAAAGACAATATTTCATATACCTGATATGTCCCTGCTGTACCAGAATGCTGTATGAAAAGGTATCCTGTTCTCTTTGTATTACCTCTTTTGTGTGAAATCCCTGGTGATCCTGCCAGTTACCCTGCTTTCCTAATAAAAGCTGACCACACCAGGCATGGGAGCACAGCATGGTTAGTTCTCTAGCTCTCCTCCAATGATCAGGCTTGTGCTGACACCCCCCCCCCCCCCCCCATCCCCTGCACAGCCATTCACTTGGAAGTCTAGTGTAATGCTGTTTCTCCACACCACCTCTCTATGCAGCTGAGAACAGGGGGTATGTGATCATTTATAAAAAAAGGGGAAAAAGGTATTTATATTGTGTATATATCTATACACAAGTGTTTTACCTTTCATTTCTATTTTAAATTGTGTGGGGTTTTATTTTACAAGGTGTGGGTTTACATATACTTTAATAATTCTTGCTATTTTACCTGCACAATGGAGGCAGCCATTTTGTGTGGTGAACCAATGTTTTCAGAACACAAGTAGCTATTGATGTTTCAAGATCTCTGTATGCTAAGCAACTGGTACAGTATGTTTCCTTAGTCCAACAGTTCATGTAAACAATGGATCTAAAAGCATGTTAAAGGTTCTAAAAGCATGTTAAAAGCATAGTCAGATGGCTTTGTGAATATGCTTTCTAAGGCTGGCCATACATTAAACAACCAGTTGAAGGAAAGTCGCTCAATTCCCCCATTAACAAATTCAGTGTTGATGGGGGGAATCCCTCTAACTGCGCTATGTATTCTGGCAGTGGGAGGTTCCCCTCCATCAGAATACAGTGGTTACTGCTGCCGGCATTACCCTTTACCAGTAATCATACAAATAAATTCGACAGGCTGGTTGTACTGAAGTCGATCAATAGATTGACTTCAGTACAACCAGCCTGCACATACATGGATTGAAATTCATCTGGTTCAACAAGAAGCAGCCAAATTTCAATCTGACTATGGCCAGGCTCAAGACAGTAACAAATCTACATATGCCACAGAGGTCTAGTTTCTACATTGCTCTTACGGTTGAATCAGGTGTACAAAATTGTAACTTGGCTCCTGGGGAAGGGGGGTGGATAGCTATACATATAACTATTGCAGTGGGGTAGTGGACTGTATATGAAGCTGCTTTTGTGGAAGAAAACTGTATATAAGCTTTCTTTGGGAAAAATTGGAGCTGAATATATGGGTGTTGTTGGGGGGAGGGAACAGGTGACAATTACATATATAGTCCATGGGGGTTAAAGATTGTATACAGTATGGGGGAGATTTACTAAAACAGGTGCACTCAGAATCTGGTGCAGCTGTGCATGATAGCCAATCAGCTTCTACCTTCTGCTTGTTCAATTAAGCTTTGGGAGTAAAACCTGGAAGCTGATTGGTTTCTATGCAGAGCTGCACCACATTTTACACTCTCCAGTTTTAGGAAATAACCACCTATATGTCTAATGTGGGGGGTGGTGAGAACTGGCCACTGTGGAAGATGAGTACTGCACAAGGGCCCTTTCATAAGGGCAGACTCCGGCAAGTGGATCCCCCTGCTCATGGGGGTATCTGTCCGCTGATCCCCGCTGAGCAGGCGGATGACAGGTCTCTATAGGTAACTGTTTTCTATAGGGTGGTCAGATGTAAATGGAAAGTCAAACTATTAAAAAATGTACGCCAAGAGCCTCTATAGCCCATGCAGGGAAAGTTAATCATTATTAATCATCCTGCATATATATAGGCTGCCAGATGATTGTTGACTCCACCCAAAATAAATAAATTCAATATTGGGTGTGGTCACCGAAGCTTAAAAACATCACATAGGTAATACAAGGGTAAAAGATTCCCCTAAACAAAAGTTTCATATGGGACCCTGCAGCTTATCAAAAAATGGCTTTAATGAAAAAATGGATGGATGAAAAAGATGTAAATGGACCACCTGTCTTTTTACATCTGACTGTCATCGTATCCCATGTATGGGTAACTGATCTCCATCCGTTTTAATCAAATCGGATGCAGGTGATAGTAAACAGACACGTCCATTTACATCCGCCTCCCCTTACAGATCAATGGGTGATCCAATCGGGTTTGTCTGAAAAACGGACAGGGAGAACCGATCAGCCTGCCCATGTGAAAGAGCCCTAAATCACTGATTTGGAAGGAGAGTACATCAGAACAGAGTCATCTTGTTGCCGGACACTAGGTTAAATGAACAAACTGAAATGCCTGAGAGTCGTAGACTTCACTCTTTTTTTTCAGCCTGCTCAATGGGCAATGAAGCCTTGCAGTCACATGTTCATAACATTCACAAATGTCTTTTAGGTCTTTAGGATTTAAGAGCTACTCTGTGAAAACCAAGAGATAGAAAGTGCAATTGCTGATTTGTTTATGAAATTGCAGGATTCGTGGCTGTCATTTTGATTTTTGCTTTACTACTTATTGAGTCACTGAAGCAGAACCTGCATGACTGAGGTGACTATATAAGAATGACAGTCCTGATGGTTGCACCTTTAATAGCAGGAGTGGCAGCTCCCAAATATCTATCCTGAAAGGTCCATTTTCTTGTGCTGCTTAAACAACACAGCATCAGTAGTTTCCATGCATGCAGAATGTCTGCCTCAACAGGAGGAAGGCAGTACACATTCCTTTAAATGGCTGTGTAATGTTTATTCAATGTTGTTTGTTTAGGAATGTCAGAGAACTTCGTATGGAAACAATACAGCTTGAGATGCAGAATCAGGAAATGGAGCAGAAGCTGATCCAGTTGCGCCAGAGCATGAGTAGAGAGAAAGAAGAACGGGAGTATGTGAATAATAACCTACAGCTTTCTCTTTTCTATATACACACAGATACATGCTGAAAATAACCAGTTGCTGTTGTACTTTGTTGCACAGACACATTGTTCTCTTCCCAGTGTAAATAGAAACAATCCTTTTCTTCAGCAGAAGGATTACTCCAGCAAGCAGTTGCTGTGGTAATCATCCCACAGTTCATGTTTCACTGACTCACAGTCCTACGAAAAAGATTTTCAGCCAGTTTTTTTACTTGCAGATTTTGCTGAATATCTAATACTGCTTCTTGTCGTCCCTGCAATGATTCTTTCAGATGATGTAGGATACAGCAGAGGATGGGAAAATGATTTACAGCAGAACTTCTCTCGATATCTTCTGACCGATATATCTATAAACTATTTTTCATTACACAGCTATCACCAGAACTGTGTATGCAGGGATGTAACTATAAATGACCAGGCTTAAAAGAGGCTGATGGTTGTTGACCCTTCCAGATCTTATTAAATGCCACCATCGTCAATCTAAAGAGATGCTGTAAAATGTCTTACAGTTTTCTACAACATATAATACATACCATATATCATACATATATAGATATGTATATTCAGGCTAAGACTATAGTGGTTATGTGCTAAGGTTATAGCTATACCTTTTGCGGTGTGGACATGGTATTTTGTTTACATAGACTGAGTTTAAAAACATGTTCACTTACCCAAATGCATGAAACAGTTGTCCTTACCATGGTAGTATATGTGTAAACATCTATATGGTGTCTACATGTATTTACAAATCTTATTTGCATGTTCACTTGCATTTAAAGTACAACATAAAGGAAAATCATGGGCTGCTCACCTTCTGAATTGAGAGTTATCTGTCCTACTTGCTCCAGTTTTTTCCATTTCACTGACTCAGCACAAGCAGATCGGTGAGGAATTAGAACCACTTTCAAATTTTTATTGTTGTTTGTGTCCTTGTTAGGTAGATTCATTCTCTCTAATTGTCTTGATTACCAATACCATTGGGAATGAAAAAAAGAAACAGGAATAGAGGGGAAACCTTCTACAAATGTCTAAGCAGAGATGTCCCTCACATTGGAAAGATGTTCTCTTCCAAATTATTCTCCTATTCTCAATTTCAAGTAAATAGATACCAAATATGTCAAGTCTCAAAATTGCACATACATGTGAAACCACGAAAAACTATATATCCCAAATTTTCCAGAGGTGACTTTGAGAACCTTAACAGCTCATGAGTCATGAGTTAACAGTGAATGGAGGAATTCACTGTTAGAATTATCGCTCCCACTCCAGCGTGCTCATCAATATGTGTGGACAGTTGTCATTTTAGTATGCAAGCTCACCTGACACCCGCGGTTGCGTTTGTATGTGGCAGTTGAATAAGGGATAAAATTACATTCTCTTAAGGGCATATCTTAAAGCAGTGCTGATCAACTTTCTTGATACAGAGCACTTCAAATGAAGCCCCTAACATCACTAAGGAGCTGTGCATTCTATTTAGTGAATGTCATTCTACAGAAAGCTGTCAGAGGTAGTGGACATGCATTAGATGGTCAGAGATGGCAGACATGCTATAGGAGTCATCGTAGATTGGGAGCATGCTTCAGGAGGCAGTCAAAGACCATAGATACATTACATGAGCTAGAAATCACTGCTAATACGGACGGCCCCTTTACAAATCAGTGCTTCCACATTTGTGCTCTCTACAGCCCCCTTAAAAATTGTGTGTACTGCATTTGATATTATTCACAGCAAGATCCATTAAAAAAGGCTCAAACAAAAAATAAACAGAGGAAAAGGATGAACATCACAGTAGAAAGTTAGGGTGAAAAAAATAAACCAAGCTATTGAACTATTTGATTCCAATCTAAGGAATATTTTTTTGTTTTACTGCCATAAGTCAGAACCTAGCTAAGGGAAACAAATATTTCCCAAACTGCAGGTTGGACATCAGAGGTGTAAAGGATTAAAGAAAACTTGTAGTCAGTGAACTGTAGAGTGTCACCTGTTGGTTGATCCTGCTTGACACCTTTATGCCCCAGTAAATCCTATATGCAGTGGCAAAATACTGGGCTTTAATGCCCACATACCATGTATATGCATTGCTGATTGCTGGGCAGGCAGTGTTTCTGTTCTGGGAGTGCTCTCCTTGTGCGCTTCTAGTACAAAGACCAAGCTGCCGAAAATGGCTTTTAGTCCCGAGAACAAACTGTTAGCTGCTGCAACCAGCTTCCAATCATGTGACCACTGTGACAGCCAGTCTCAGGGGTCACATGATCGCCAATCCTTCCCGTTCCCCTGGGCATTAAGAACTTTTAAAGGGGAAGCCAAGGTAGGCGGGAAGGGTTTAAAGATTACCTTCAGTCTTTAAAAAAAATATATAAAAGCCAGCAGCTAGAAATAGTGTAGCTGCTAACTTTTAAAATAGTACTGTGATGGAACGCCTGGCACGCAACTTGTGCCTTCCATCAGAGAACCGCTTCTTCGCCACTGGGACACAGGACCAAGGTATTATAGCTGGCATTGCACCCAAGACTAGATGAGACTAGCTTAGATGCCAAAGCTGAACCAAGCACCCAGACAATGCTTTGATTAATCAGGGAGCACACCACAGACAGACCGGCAACAATCCCACCCCTGAATACACAAAGTCCATTACACATGCTGTCTATCAGGTGTTTGCTTTCACTTGTATAATCTGTCCATCATAAGACAAAACTCATACAATATTCCAACAGTCTGAATATTAGAATTCATTTCTCTTCATTGATTTCTTGAGGGAGATTGTTGATAAATATTTCTGTCCCAAATAGACGAGTTTCACCAACCCAGTCAGCATGAGGGCCACCATATTTCCTCTGGTTGGTAACCTGTACAAGATTATTATTATTACATCTTTCCATCCACTCCAAAAGGGAAGATTTATTGTCTGTATTCAGAGATTTAATCCAAGTCTCGCTCTCAACGTTTATCACGTTGTTGTCCATCATTACAAAATGATCTGCTCTCTCCATGGGCCATAATCAGTGGATAGAAGGCAAGCCCCTAGTCCGCTCCAAAAGCCTTTGTCCTGGTTGGATCTGTCAGAGGTACACTTACCTGTTCAGGGATCCAGTGCTGTCCTCACCCAGGTTGGTTCTTTGCCAGTCTTCAGGTCCCAGGTGCTGGCATTTTTACTAAGGAAATCCAGCTGCGACTTATTGTGGGTTCACAGCCAGCTTCCCACTGCACATGTGCGGACCATGCTGTGCTGTATGAATGGTTCAGCAGCACCCAGGGATCTCTGATGCGTCTCAGCAGGTTGCGGGCCGGGGTGTAGAAATAGATATCCTCCTACAAAGTGAGAGCAGGTACCTGCTAAAACTAGATACTGACTTCAAAGGAGGTGTTAAAGTGAAATTTCCCTTTTAGGGTGAAGTTCTGCTTTAAAATGAAATGTTTGTTTGCAAGTATACAGTATATACCTGACTTAAAAGAGATAAAAATATCTTTGAAAAAGTCTTATCTTTTGTTCTAAAGATAATAAAGAAAAGACGAAGCTCAAAAATGACTAATTTGATGTTTAACTGGAATGTAAGCAGTTCCATTAAAGCAGAATCAAACCAGTGAAACACAGAAAAAACATACTGGCCCCTAAAATCTTTTTTGTAGTAATGTGTAAGTATGAAGAGCACATTTGCACATTGTGACAGACATAGCTAGCAAAGCAGCCCTTCTCTGGGCATCATCTAGGTTCTGGACCTTCGGCCAGCTTGATTGGCCGGGATGAGGTAATTGTCGCGCATGCACATGGCAGTTTCTTAGTTCTGACACAGAATCAATCTTAGACAATAGCCTGAGCTGTGCATGCTCACCTCGTGTACTCGTGCTCATTGATGAAAAATGAAAATCAAAAATGCTGACTGCTAGCTAGCATCATCTAGGGATGTAAACAGCCTCTTTTGTCAAAAGAAAAGCTTGTTAGCATTTTTGCTCTTTCAACTTTAGTTTCAATTTAATAATAATTGGGTCTTGACAGAAATATGGCTGGCAAAGTGAGTAAATATACACTTTAGATGAACAATATACAACCACCGATTCACTTTGTTTTAGTGACTTTTGCTGAGTTATAGTGACTTGTTATATGTGCTGACATATGGACAAGTGCTGCTGGAGCCGTTTGTCTCCATCATTTCCCATATAATTACAAACACATGCATTTCTAGGGATATATTGATTTTGTAAAGTAATGTAAATATTATATGCACTTAATGGTCTATCGATTTGATCACCTCTTTATGGATAAACCAAGACACGACATTTTAGCCTTGCTCTTGTGTGGTATATAATGATGATGATGGAGAAAAGTCAAAAGAAAAAAGGAGGGTTTGTTACAGGGGGTAGCAGTCTCCTGAGGAATTTAAAGTGGAGTTCCAGTAACACTGCAAAAAAAATAAAAGTTAGCAGCTACAAAAACTGTAGCTGCTGACTTTTAAAAAACAGCCAGTCACCTGTCCCTCGATCCTGCCATGTCCTCCCCACAGCCCGTTTCAACGTCTGGTGTTCCCGGCGCTGGCATCTTCAGTGTGGGCACCTTGCTGTGACAGCTTGCACGGTAGCTTGTGCTTTCTGAATGGTCCCGTAGTCTTCTGGGACCTGTCACATGTCCTAGAAGACTAAGGGGAGGGGGGGAGGGAGGACAACAATTTTTTAAAGCTCATTTGAACAAGCCAAAGTTAGCAGCTGATTAGTTACTGTGCACAGCTGCTCCATATTCTGTCTGCTCCAGTTTAACAAATTGCCACTGCTTACTAGATAACAGTGTTAACCACTTGCTGCACGAGGCATGCCGCCACCCTACCTGCACCTCCTATTCCGGCCGTGGGTGTCAGTTACTGGGTCACAGCCAGTCATTACAGGCAATGTCCCGCCGATTAGCGGCAATCACTGACAGAGAGCAGGGGTGCAGTAGCTCTGCTTTCTGTCAGTCCCCTGTCAGCTCCTGCCACGTTGATCGGGAGAGAAGAGTTTATCTCCCCCGATCAGCTGTCCCCCCCCCCCCCCGTGCAGTACACACCCCCACCCCCTAGTAAAACACTCCTCTCACACAGTTAACCCTTTCAGTGAATAAAAAAGGTAACCCCTTCCTCCCCAGTGCCATTAGTACAGTGTCAGTGTTTTTTTTTTTTTTTGCACTGATCACTGTATTGGTGTCACTGGGGATGTCAGTGACCCCAAGTCAGTTCCCCCCCAGTGTCAGAATGTCCACCGCAGTCCCGCAGTCCTGCCATAAGTCAGTGATCGCCGCCATAAGTCAGTGATCGCCGCCATAAGTCGCTGATCACCGCCATAAGTCGCTGATCGCCGCCATTATTAGTATAAAAAAAAATTAAAAATCCAAGTATCTTTCCCGCCATTTGTAAACGCTATAACTTTCACGTAAACCAATTAATTTACACGTATGGGTTTTTTTTTTAGCAAAGACGTGTCGCAGAATGCATTTTGGCCGAAATTTATGCCGAAATTAGATTTTTAAATTTTTTTTACTGGACATGTTTTATAGCAAAAAGTCCAAAATAGTTTTTTTTTCTCAAAATTGTCAGCCTTTTTTTTCATAGCGCAAAAAATAAAAACCGCACAGGCGATCAAGTACCACCGAAAGAAAGCTCTATTTATGTGAAAAAAAGGACATAAATTTCATTTATGTACCGTATTGCATGACCGCGCAATTGTCCATTAAACTAGCGCAGCGCTGTATAGCAAAAAAATTAGGTAAATTGCAGTATCTATACCATAGTTTGTAGACGCTATAACTTTCACAAAAGCAATCAATATATACTTATTGGGATTTTTTTTACCAAAAACATGTAGCAGAATACATTTTGGCCTAAATTTATAACCAACTTTGAGTTTACTATATATTTTTTATAGCTGAAAGTAAAAAATATAGTTTTTCTTCAAAATTTTTGGTCTTTTTTTGTTTATAGCGTGAAAAATAAAAAGCGCACAGGTGATCAAATACCACCAAAAGAAAGCTCTATTTGTGTGAAAAAAAAAGGATGTAAATTTTGTTTGGGTGCAGCATTGCATAACCGCGCAATTATTAGTTGAATTAGTGCAGCGCCTAGTGGCAAAAAGAGGCCTGGTCATTAAGGGGGGTAAATCCTCAGGAGGGCAAGTGGTTAAAGCAGATATTGGGTTGAAGATTGTATTGCACTGTAAATGTTTCTTGTTCCTGAAATTATGAAATAATGGGTAGTACGTTCCCCAGTTCTTGGTGTCCTTCATTATCATCATTATTTCGTAGACATTGATCCTACAAAGGCCTTGGTGAAAGTTTGCTGAACAGTTCTACTCAACACTTCATTGGGGTTGATTTACTAAAACTGGAGAGTGCAAAATCTGATGCAGCTCTGCATGGTAGCCAATCAGCTTCTAGCTTCAGCTTGTTCAATTAAGCTTTGACAAAAAAAAAAAAACTGGAAGCTGATTGGTTTCTATGCAGAGCTGCACCAGATTTTGCACTCTCCAGTTTTAGTAAATCAACCCCAGTGTTTTTCTAACTATATCAAGATGTTCTTAGCTCAGCACAAAGGTATAGTGCGTCCAGCATTTTGTTTCTGCCATGGAATCTTCCAAAGTAACTGTGCTACGAACAGCTCCATTTGAAGCACGTTCGTGGAATCCATATTAGATGATCAAGTTAGATGAGTTTGCTCCTCTCAGTTTGATGGTGCAATCACTTTTACATGAATGATGTCCCTGAAATAAAATTTAATTTTATGCATATACCTTTTTGTTTTGCAGACGATCAAATGGATACCATTGGCAATCTGGACAAACTGGAAATCAAACTCAAACCCACAAAAAGGAAAATGTTGTCAAGGTATGGACCTGTTACAGTGTAGCACAAACAGTGGATTTAGAAGAAAATGTAAATGAGTGATAAGTGGAAATACTGTTTATTATATATGTACCTATCTATTTTATGTCTGTAGATTCTGTAGAATCTCTGTATTCTCCCTTAGCAACCAATATGAATAAAAAATGTAATTCTGCAATTGTCATTTTTTCTGTGTGCATTTGAATCAGAATCGCCACTGTTAGGCAACACAGTCAATTTTCATGAAAGAAACGCTGAGCAATGAAACCCACTGTGTTTGTGACAGCTGTCGCTCATACTTGTCATGTTTCATTGATCCTGTTTTTCATAATTCACTTTATTTTGTTTATTTCAGGCTTCTTCAGGGAAAGTGAAGCTAAAAATTCTCAAAAATCCAGTTCCAGGTAAAATGCTACATGCTTACAGAACAACCTTAGGCAAAGGAAATTTAGTCAGTCAACTTTTATTTATAATTCAGGACACTATGGGGTCAATTCACTAAAGGTTACCAAATGCGATATGAAGGTCACGTGACTCATTTTATCGGTAATATTGCATGCGATAATACGAGTCAATTCATCAAAGTAATATTATTGAATGTGAGGTACTGCAAATACCGCACATTTGTCAGAATAGTGAGATAAATACTGCAAAAAACATTAGATAAATCATTAAAGTCAATTAACTATAAACACACTCACATTCATTAGTTATCACCTGGTGTTTGCTGGCGGTATTATAGAAATGTACAAAATAACAATTATAGCTGATTCACACATGTGTAGTGTGGATTGAAGCTCAGGTTTCACAGATAATTAATTTAGAAGTTGTTTTACGGTTCATGTCAGGTTTACTTCAGGTTCAGGACAGGATTAGCTCAGGATCTTATCCTGTTCACACATATGTGATTTTGAAACAGTTCCCATAGAAGTCAATACAAGAAATCGTACAGGACTCTTTTTAAACCGCACTGAATCCGCACCGCCAGTGCATCAGAGATATGTGAACAGACACCATAGGAAGCAATGTTTTTTCACATGTGATGCAGATTGGATGCAGCACAAACTGCATCTAATCCGCATATATGTGAACCGACACTTAGAGGAAGTCTACACTGGCCGGGAAGTGAAAAGTATACGATGTATCAGCTTGAAAATGTTCTCTGAGCTCAGGAATGAAAATAAATTGTAACATTTCACTAGAGGGAGATTGAATGAAAGCAGACTAGAATGTTTTCAAAGTTTCACAATATTGCTGTTTGCATTCTGGTGCAGTGTTAGCTTGCAAAAAAAAGAAAATTGTGAAAAAATGCCCAAAATAGCACTAGATTTAAAATTTAGGTGCTAAATATCACAAAACATAAATATTTAACGCATATGGTAAATATTGCATGTTTTTAGTGAATTGTGTACTTTTGAGATAAATACTGCATTAGTTATTTTAACATAAAATGTATGCAGTATTTATCTCTTAGTGAATTGACCTCCATGTGGCATTGCTAAATTTAAAAAAAGCTTAAATAATTAGAGTTTTCCTAAAATCCAGTGCAGCTTGATCTAGCAGTCCTCTAACAGTGCTTCTGGGTGGCACTGCAGCCAACAGGATGACTATACGAATTAAGCCGCCATACATGGATCGAATTTTGGCTGGTCCATCTTTGGTACAAACAGCCTTTTGGATAAGTTGATTGTAGAAAACATCAATTTAAATTGTGCACCTTTCCAGTGCAGATTACAGATTACAGTACAGTTGCTTCTAATGTTGGGTAGCTCACTGGTTTCTTACCAAGGATTTCACAATTAGTAAATTCTCCACATCAGCAGTGCCAAACTCCATCTGGAGCACAAATATGGAGTGACAGGTCTTCATTGAAGCCAGTGGCAGTACAGATGTTATACTGCTGATGCTCCAAAGTGTACCTATGGTGGGTATCAGACAGGTAAGAGATCAAGACAGACAGCAGACAGAATTAAAGTCTAACAAGCAAGGGTTCAAGGCATGTGGCAAGTAAGTAAAGTTCAACTATCAGGCCATGGTCAAGGTCAGAGTTTTAAAAAGCAGCATTGCAGTGTCAGAAACAGTCCAATGATGGGAATAGAAATAATTATTTGAACAGATCATTATAGAGGCAATGCACAATAGCTGATCATAGGCAAGGTGTTCTGGCCCTTTTTTGCCAATAACAAATGCTTACACAATGGTGTTTCCACCCTGACATGCAATTGCTCGCAGCATATATGGAAAAATCTCCTCTTTTTTTGAACCCTGTATATTTCCACATCAATGTGTGATCATACTGAAATTAGTTGCATTATATAGCTTTCTGTTATATAGCAATACTTCTAGTGTTTTGTTTCTAGTGTTACCTGTTCTTTTCTAAGCTGTCCTCCTTAATTAAAGAAAAGAGATATGCCACCTTTAATTGCTAAACAATTAGTGAACGCATGCAGTCATATTGCTGTCATTTATCAGCCTCATTGGAGGTTTTATCTAATTTTGTCCTCTTAGTAAATTGGCCCCATATTTCACTTGCAGTTATGACTTCCTGCTTCCATTAGTCAGATGCACTGTGATTTATTCAATTTCCATGTGCTGGCCTGTTGTCAATAACCAGACCTGTTAAATTAAACTAATGCATCGCTGCATATGTTAACTAGTGGCTTGTGAAGGAACAAATATTGAATACTCAAGCTTCTGTTAATCGCAGACTGCACATTGAAGAATAATTTGTGACTGTGGATTGCCAGTAAGTGACGTGTTTCTGCCAGAGTACAGGACACCTAATATATTACAGGTGATTGAATGCTTTCCTCAGTCTTCCGTGCTATTCTTTGTGCATGACTTGAACTGTATTATGTTTTCTCAAGAGCCTGAGAAACTGAAGACATCAGGGCCTGCCGATATGCCAACCACTGAGAAACCCAGATTAAAGGGGAAAGTTTGTGGACAGTGTGAAACTAAACGTGCATTGCTGGTATGTATAAAGAGTTTGAAGGAAATTAAAAGTGTTTTTAAAGGCTTGTTAAGTTACAGCACAGTGCAGTATCCACTACCAGTCAATGATTTTCATTAATGATTGCTATGAGTTTTTTCACATCATTGCTATTTTCTCTTTCTTAACAAATAACCCCAAATATCCCTTTTGATGAAGCCCCTTTCTAAATTACCTGACGGTATAAGATACCGTGGTGGAGACTTTACAGAATACTTTAATAGGAAGACTGATTTTTTTTTCTCTGTAACATACTAAGTAAGGTCATTGGGGGCATTTTTGAATGCAATTGCTGCCTTTTTACAGCTGTCGCATCTCTCATTCATGTGTATCCCTGCCATCAAAACGTCTTTGCTGTGGATCTAAAGCAAGTAATGCTGGCAGCTCGGTGTACTTTTCTTATTGAACTTTATTAACTACATATCAAATGGCACAGTATACAGAATGCTAACGCATTTCAGCTAATACCGCCTTCCTCATATGATATGAGGAAGGCAATGAAGATCAGGTACTATATATGTTATAAATTTTATAACATATAAATGTTTAAAAAAAGTGAAAACAGTTTAAATGTTTTAAGCCAAAGCACAAATGGAACATACAGTAGGCACTGAATGGGGTAGGAGACAGTTACACAAAATGTGCTTATGTGAGAATGTGGCTATTTGGTATTTATTGATTATAATTACGCAGATTATGCAAGCTTACTGATGAAAGAGGAAAGATAATTTTTCCCTTTAAAAGGTAAGTTCACCTCTAGTTACATGTTACAACAATATTTAGGGTGTAACATGTTACTAAAAGAGCAGCACCTGTCACCCCCTGAGCCCCATTGTGACAGGGGCTAATCACAGGCGCAATGCTTTACAGGCTAAAAAAAAAAATTAAAATGCAAATTTTTTTACCTGCAAAAAAAACGTGTATTTATTTATTTATTTTTAAAAAGGTGAACTTATCATTTAATCAGCTTTATGAATGTTAATCGATTGTGAAACTTTATTTGGAATATTGGGGGGCAGACTCACAGAGAATTTTATATAGTGATTGAATTCAGGTAGTTGACAGGACAGCAACTGCCAGGCTTTGGGTGATCTTTGACCTTCTGTTCAGCAATGGCAGCTACCATATATTTGGTCCTATCAAGTTCTTTTTAAAGGTCAACAAACAAATCTTGCAGTCTTACACTATATTTTTTGGATCCACTCACTTGCTGGCTTATATCTCTAAGGAACTCTATTGGTAAGATTTCCCACCGGAATTCCCTGTTCAACTCCACTGCTTGCAGCTATTACAAAGCCAAATGATCATATTACATTTCCAAATAGATTCTACATAAAAGAGAATAATACATTAGGGGTGGGGGGTGCTCAGGTGTGTCATCATTACACCTTAACTGCTGCAAGGTAATTTTACCAGTGAAACTGCCATTAACTATTATATTACAGAAGGTGCTTTAACCCACCAATGCATATGTATAACCAAGTATTAATTTTGGGTAGAGCTAGCCTTTAAAATATAAAAATAAGGGTCTTACTTTCCAGCCCATAAGAAAACAAACCTAATGCCAAGTGGTCAGCCTGCTATCCTATTAATTAAGGGGCAAGTGAGTACATAAGACATTAATACCTCAGATTGATTGAGCATACTTGCCGACTTTTGGATGTGGATAAACATGAGATTATCAGATCGTCTTCTAACCCCATGTAAACATTTATATTTACATATTAGCACATACGCATTTTTTTAATATAATAGTGTTCATCTTTTCTTCACAGATCTTCCATATATGTGCACAGGGCACTTGTTTGAAATATTTACCCATTTTCCAAACCATTTGTACTGATAACACTTGAGCTTTCAGGCGATTATCTGTTAGCTTGCTGTATAATTTAACACATGTATGGAATTCCTGGAACCTTTGGTCAATACAGTAATTTGTTTTTGTTCTGTTCAATGCTTTTCACTGAAGATGTGTTTGGAGTGTGGCGAGGATTACTGTGCTGTATGCTTTTCAAAAATTCACCAGAAGGGGGCATTGAAGCTACACAGAACTACGCCCATTCAGGTACTTCCACTTTCCCATTCGCAGAGGACCATCTTTCTGCAATGCATTTATAGTTAAATGTGTCTTATTTTTAGTAGTTTTAAGTATCATTTTTGTTATCACCGTTGTTTATTTTTGTTAGAATACATTTCCCAAATGCTGATTTATAGCTTTCCATTTAGTAATCTTGCTAAGAACATTAGTCATTTTTAATGACATTCGTTTTACTTTAACATTTGAAATTCTTATGGCATTTAATCATGCATACATTTATTTATTTTTTTTAAACATGATCTACCACATGTAATAAGCTAGCCATGTGTAATAAATCATTATGGCTGTTGTAAAAATCACCTAAGGAACTTAGAGTCAATGTAAGAGCCAGTGATTTTTGTAATCTAATGAAATATTTCTTTGTTTATGAATAAACAATCAGGTATCATACAGGCTGTCACACCTTAAAATTGAGATGCACCATTAGTGCCTTTTTCTTTTCTGCACAACATTATTGGTAGCAATGCCAATCACTTGCATACTGCATTGTTTATATTGGAATTAAAATTATTAATCACAGGAAACTGGGTTTACTTCAGCATCTCTGCTGGGACCTGCTACACTGCAGCTGCTGCTGACAGTCAAAGGGATATTACATCATTATGCACTGGTAGCGCATGACTAACAGTGAATTATTACTGGAGTCCATAATTATAATGTGTAGCAAGTACAGCTTGCCCTTCTTCTGTGTTGTCTTTGCATCAGTAATATCTGTGCAAACTATGAACCAGGAGTATTGTAAGTAGAATGACATTATTTAAAATTTACACCATAGTCAGATGTAAAAATTGTTGCATTTAAAGTGGACCTGTCTTTAAATTTCCCACTTCACTTGAGTCAATGTAGCATGTGTCAGCATTATCAAATCGCATTATTATTTTCAGAAAAAAACATCTTTGTGGCTATGAATAAAAATATTGCTCCATCATGTGTCCTTAAGCCTAAGCAATCTAGATCATGATTGTTAGCTACTAGGTGCATGGATGTTGTTTTCAAACAAACAGGCCCTGAGCAGAGGCAACATATGCAGTTTTTTTTTAAAGCACAAACCAACACTTATATTATTATCACATTTTTTGGATCTCGACCCGGGATTTCCCAAACAAAACCCTCACTCTCTCTATCTAATTGTAATTTAAGAAACGCCCAATCTAAATGCCCCAAATACCTAAATCTGCGATCATGTGATGTCATACTGCTGTTTGGTGACATACTGTAGATACTTGATTTTGACTGTCCAATGATGGGGTCATTATTGGTCCTGGAAACTCTAGTGGCAGTGTAGTGACATTGAGAGATCTGCTTTAACTGCTAGCCTACAGGGCACTTATACCCCCTTCCTGCCCAGGTCAATTTCCAGCTTTCAGCGCTGTTGCATTTTGAATGACATTTGCGCGGTCATACAACATTGTACCCATATGAAATTTTTATCATTTTTTTGTGACAGATAGAGCTTTCTTTTGGTGGTATTTAATCACCTCTGGGTTTTTTATTTTTTCTTAAACAAACCAAAAACCACTGAAAATTTGGGAAAAAAAATGTTTTTTCTTAGATTTTGTTATAAAATTTTGTAAATAAGTGATTTTTCTCCTTCACTGATATACGCTAATGAGGTTGCAGTGGTGGGCACTGATGGGCTGCACTGATGGACAATGATAGGTGGCACTGATGAGGAGGCACTGGTAGGTGGCACTGATGGGCATTGACAGGCATCACTGATGGGCACTGACAGGCATCACTGATGGGCACTGAAAGGCAGCACTGATACATGGCACTGATAGGCGGCACTGATAGGCGGCACTGATAGGCGGCACTGACTGGCACTGATAGGCGGCACTGACACGGCACTGATAGGCGGCACTGATGCGCACAGATAGGTGACACTGACTGGCACTGATATGCGGCACTTACTGGCACTGATAGGTGGCACTGATTGGCAGCACTGATAGGTGGCACTGATTGGCATTGATAGGTGGCACTGACTGGCACTGATAGGTGACACTGAAAGGCAGCTCAGATGTTCACTGATATGTGGCATTGCTGTGCACTGGTGGCACTGATATGTGGCATTGATGTGGCACTGATGGGCACTGGCACGAGGCACTGATGAGCACTGACACAAGGCTCTGATGGACACTGACAGGTGGCACTGCTGGGGCTACACTGATCATCAGGGCACACCGATCATCAGTGCCCTGATGATCAGTGTAGATGTCCCCTCCGTGGAAAGCCGATTACCGGCTCTCCTCTTGAGCTGTCAGCGTGACAGCTCGAGAGGAGAGAAATGCCGATAACCGGAATTTCCCTGTTTACATGTGATCAGCTGTGATTGGACACAGCTGACCACATGACTGAGCCGACATCTTCTGCTCTTTCCGTGATCGGTGATCCGCTGTGTCCAAGGGACATAGTGCACCGCCGATCCGCCGCGATGCTCGCTCCCTGAGCGCTCATGCGCGGTGAGAATGGGAGGACGTCATATGAATAAGAGAACCACCTTGCGTCCGTCATTGGACTATATGGCGGGCGGGAGGTGGTTAAAGTAGTTTTAAACCCTGACATATGCCCAATGAAATGACTAGCCTCTGGTGATACACAGAGATGAAACAAACCCTCATATATCCTCATGTACCTGAAATTGAAGAAAGATCCAGAAGGCAGAACTGAAACACTCATCCACTATCATATTAGAAAAGGCATAAAAACACCATACAGTATAATGTACCAGTAGCGGAGAAAGGTTCACGCATTTCAGCGCTCTCTTTCAGCGATCAAACACAATCAATACTATGAACAAATGTGAAAGCTATATTATGCAAAACGTATGACTCCAAATAAAGTGGAAAGCTAGTGAAAAAAGTCCAAATTGTGGCACTACACCACTGTACTCGTGCACATGGATGGTGTACGTGAGTAATCACATAAGGGTAGCCGTCAAAAGCCGAAATTGGCCGCTCACCTTACTTCGACCTGCAAGGGGTCAAAACACTTTTTGGATCACTAACACAGATCCTCCATGTATATGATTCCTCTACTCCTGGATATCTCTCCCCTCAGCGATCTCACTTCCAGGGATGTACATATAAGTAGCAGAAATCTCGCCAGGTAAACGCATATGGTAAGAGCCAATATCTCAAAAGACAAAGATAAAACCTCCCATAGTGTAATACCTTTTATTAAACTTGATAAAAGTACAGACATCCAAGTATTGCACTCACATTTTGATCCTTAGACAAACAGCATTTCAGAATCTCATGTTCTGGGTGTATCTGCATGGGTTTTCAATTTGGGTGCAGCAAGATGGCGTCTGCGCCGGAAGTGCGTCACCGTGCTACGCGTTACGTCACTCAAGTCACGTGACATTTTTTCTGTATAATATGTGGGCAGAACAACCAGAAGGCTGCATGATTACTTGCACGATCATGTTTATGACATTAAAAAATGTAATTCCTTCAATGTTGCTCGAGATTTTAATGAGAAGAATGGGGGGAATTATACAGCCTTATGAATTCCAGGCAATAAAAAGTTGGTGACACCTTTAGACTTTTCTGTAAAAAAGAGGTCTATTGGATCTTCCAATTACAAACACATATCCTGAAGGGGTTACATTTTAAATGGGATCCCACAAATTTTTGATGTCCTGTATACAACATTTACAGGTCTGTGTGGCTACTTATGATGGGATTTTCTGCCTTAATTATTTTTTGTGTGTAGCACGCATTTCCTATTTATGTAATAATGGCCAGACATTTTTGGGTGCTCCAAATAATGTTTAAGAAGTTCTTTTAAAACATTGGAAAGATTTTTAATACATTTTCAGAATATTTTGACCAGTACATCATATATGAATATATGTAGTTCAGTTTCTTGTCATGCATGGTCTTATGTCCAAATAGTGCTTGTTTTCATTTACTTTTATGTTTATTGTTTTTATGTGCATAAGTATATTGACAGGTGTCTGTATCGGTCATAGGCAGCCATATGCATTAAACCAAAAAATGGGGAATATAGGCAAGGGGAAGGAATGTAAATGGACTTTAGAGGCACAGAAACCATAAACACATATCAGTAAAATCACTTGTACTTTATTTTGACAATAAGTCATGACACAAACAATTTTTTTTTTTTGTTTAAAATTTCATTGTACAATGTCCCCGCAGACAATGTCCCACATCCCACCATACTACAAGGAACAAAACTAGTGATAAGACATACTATAACCACCAGAAAGGTTCTATGGGGGGGGGTGAGAGACATTAAGCCACTAGAAGAATGGCCCAATATGTTTCCCGGCAACAATCTCTTCTTCAGGGACTAAGTAGTAAAATCTAAAAGGATACATACATATATATTAATTATATCAGATTACATCATATACATATGTAAATACTTATATAAGTATATCATAGAACGTACATATAACATCAACGTGTGCCAAGCAACAGTAAACCTCCTAATGCCAGAGGGCTGACCTCCTCCACTGCACCCACAAGGCAGAGGGCAGATAACAGAGATATGAGGCAGCAGACAGAAATGACACTTAGTTCAAACTATAGAAGGATATGCTTAGTTCATATTTCATGTCAGAGGTTTACAACCACTTTAAGTAAAGGTTTACTTAACTGCCATTTTGTGTAGCAGTCGCTTTACTATGTGACTACCAGAGTCTCAGTGGAAAACCTAGTACTTCAGTTATAACAGAACATGTTGCATTGCCTTCTGGCTTCCACAGTTCAGAGATTGGTGCCCAAGTGGCCATTTATTAGGCTTCAGGGGTAAGGGAAAATATGCTTAGAATTTGCAGAAACTGCAGGTTCCCTCATCAGAAAATGGAAATGTAAGAGCAGGCAATTTTAGATAGTCTGTTACACATTCCATCTCGGCATACAAGTTCTGCTTGCCCAGTGGCTTTAAATTATTTTCATGCTGGCACTCATCTTTTTTAGCAGGTTCCCCAGCTCACTAAATCTCTGTGGTGGCCAGTGTCCTTATTACCTGGATGACTCTGAATCTGAACCAATAAAAATGCACACCAGTGTGTTTCATGAGCGATGACCTCTGTATTCCTCAGAAAAGAAAATTGCCAAGCACACAACCATATGACAAGCGACTTTAGTCTCACACAAAAGCAGTTTGAAACAAGGCTCAGTACTATGTCATTGATGCTATATTACAAATAATGGGTGATTTCTTCCTGATTTTGGGGTGAATGAATAGTAAGAGAATTGGTGGTGCTCCTGGTCGCTTCTGTTTCACTAGCAACATATAGCCTAATGTAAGTACTGTATGCTTGTACTGAAGCCAAACATTAGCTCTAAAAAAATAAATATTCAGCTCTAGTGTTGGGAAACAACAGCTACTGACTGTAAAACAGTAAGGTATGTGAATTGGTACTGCCATCTGTAGCAGTGGATTGCAGCAGGCATGTCAATTGGATTTGTGGACTGATGAGCGAATCTAATCCCTTAGGGCTCATTCACACTGAGTTTGTAATAAGCATTTACAGATTGCCTTCTAATTGGTTCTATAGCAGGTATGGTTCTACAGCAAACACACCTGAATTTTGTATTATATGGGTGAACGCTGATGCTTACAAAAATGTTCTGATATGGCATTTAGTTTGTAAGTCAATAATATTGCTATTCAGATGCTTACAAAACATTTAGTAAGCAGTTAACAGACAACCAAATAGCCTTCTTGAAGGTCTTTAGTTACATGAAATGGCTCAGAAGTTTTGTGTCTGATTTATAGAAATGTATATGCCTGTATCACCCGATGTAATAAACAAATCGTAAACAACAAGATGGTTTATATAGTCTATGAAAATCAGTACAATGTTACTCTATAAATGTTTATTCATTAAACCTTACTGTCAGGAATGGACTGGCCAGCAATGGTGGGACTCACCTGCCTTTTGATCTGCAGTACCAGGGCTGGCCAGCGGGTGCTCCCAGCAATCAGAGACTCAACCTTTCAGCCAGCTAACACCTGGAACTGATGATACTGGTGTATTTAAGGGATGGCCAGACTTGCAGACTCTGCCTTGGTGTTGTGTTTGTCCTGGGCTCTGTATCTGTCCTGCATCCTGTTTCTGTTCCTTTGCTGACCCTGCCTGATCTGAACCGCTGCTGACTTCTCCTGCTCTGATCCCGGCTCGCTCCTGACCATCCCTCTGCCTGACCCTCTGTACCACGCTGCTTGCTACCTGTTCTGATCCCTGGCTTGTGACCCTGACCATCCCTCTCCCTGACCCTCTGTACTACGCTGCTAGCTACCTGCTGAACCTGGCCTGTGACCCCGACCCATCTCCGCTTGCTCCCCCTGTACCTACCTGCCCCTATTGATATTGACCCGGCCTGCCTGACGACGCTTGCTTGTATGTACTGTTATCTGTGGGGGTGGTTGGTTTGGTTTGTTTGCACTGTATTATGTTTTAGTATTGCACTGCGTTTATGTTTGTATGGTTAGTGTTAATAAATTATATTGTTTATCACATATCTGAAGTCTGCGTTTCCCTGCGTCAGTCACACACCTCTGGTCACACCTGGGAGCCCTGACATTACACCAAGGCCAATCCTGACCAGAAGTGGCTGCACAGGGAAGCCATCTTGGCTTGTTGCTGGGAAGGATGGATCTGGATGAGGTTGAGTATTTATCTCTGCTAGTGCTTGATGACAGAAAATATGCTTATCAGACTCTGAAGGAGTATCCCCGGGATGAACTGCTAGAATGTATACAGCTCGCTCATGTTCTAGTAGATCAGGGCACAGATTTCTCTATGGTGCAGCCATTGATTAAGGTTTGTGTTGAGTTGGTTTCATCTGGTTCCCCCGAATGCAGGGATGAATTTTTGCCACCATTTAGTGCAGACCAGGTAGAGTCCCTGGTGTGGTTATTAGAGGATGATGTGGGTTACTTTCTGGAGCGTTATTCCACATGTTCACCACAGGTACTAAGAGATTGTATAAACGCAGTGCAGTCTTTGGTCAGACAGGCTTTGTGTAAGCTCAGCTTTGTTCAACCCATACTGCAGACATGGACAGACTTGTTGCACCCAGCCTCAGTCAGCTTACAAAGACCCAGTCCTGCTTCTAATCTATTTCCTCAAAGCTCTATTCCTGCATTCCCAACAGCTCCTCCTGCCCTGCTATCTACCGCATGTCAGTACCCTGTTCCCACTCGCTGCACCTATCCTGCCTTTAACCCTGTAAAAAAGCCCTCTGTAGCAACTGCTCCCTCTCCTGTTCCATCCTCCAGTTCTTCTCTGTCTCCAGCTGCTCCATTCGTTTGCAGACCTGCGTTTACTTGCAGTGCTCCAGTAGTTAAAACCAGAAAAAAGCGAAAATTCTTTCCAACCAATACCATCCTGCCAGTATCCAAAACCGGTGAACCTGCCTTCCGTGGTTCAGCCTGAAGCCTCTACTCAGCCTGAGATGCCTTTACTCAGCCTGATGCCTCTACTCAGCCTGATGCCTGTACGCAGCCTGATGCCTGTACTCAGCCTGATGCCTGTACTCAGCCTGATGCCAGACGATCCAATGTCTGACCCAGTGCCAGCGGTCATGCCAGTTGACTCGGAGCCCACTGTCGTGCCTGGTGACTCGGTGCCCGCTGTCGAGCCAAATGACCTGATGCCTGGTGACCCAGTGCCCGCTGTCATACCTGGTGACCCGATGCCCGCTGTCGAGCCAGACAATCCGGTACCTGATGACCCGGTGCCCACTGTCGTGCCTGTTGACTCGGAGCCCACTGCCTTGCCAGATGACGCGGTGCTCGCTGTCGAGCCAAATGACGATGCCTGGTGACCCGATGCCCGCTGTCTAGTCAGACGATCCAATGTCTGACTCAGTGCCCGCGGTCATACCAGTTGACTCGGAGCCCACTGCCTTGCCAGATGACGCGGTGCCCGCTGTCGAGCCAAATGACCTGATGCCTGGTGACCCGATGCCCGCTGTCCAGCCAGACGATCCAATGTCTGACCCAGTGCCAGCGGTCATGCCAGTTGACTCGGAGCCCACTGTCGTGCCTGGTGACTCGGTGCCCGCCGCTTCGCCTGGGGGCCCGAGACCTGTCGCTCCGCCTGGGGGTCCGGTGCCCGCCGCTCCGCCTGGGGGTCCGGCGCCCGCCGCTCCGCCTGGGGGTCCGGCGCCCGCCGCCCCGCCTGGGGGCCTGAGACCTGTCGCTCCGCCTGAGGGCCCGAGACCTGTCGCTCCACCTGGGGGTCCGGCGCCCGCCGCTCCGCCTGAGGGCCCGAGACCTGTCGCTCCGCCTGGGGGTCTGGCGCCCGCCGCTCCGCCTGAGGGCCCGAGACCTGTCGCTCCGCCTGGGGGTCCGGCGCCCGCCGCTCCACCTGAGGGCCCGAGACCTGTCGCTCCACCTTGGGGTCCGGCGCCCGCCGCCGCTCCGCCTGAGGGCCCGAGACCTGTCGCTCGCTCCACCTGGGGGTCCGGCGCCTGCCGCTCCGCCTGAGGGCCCGAGACCTGTCGCCCCGCCTGGGGGCCCGATGCCTGTCGCGCCGCCCTGGGGGCCCGATGCCGGTCGCCCCGCCTGGGGGCCCGATGCCGGTCGCCCCGCCTGGGGACCCGATGCCGGTCGCCCCGCCTGGGGACCCGATGCCTGTTGCCCCCCGCCTGGGGGCCCGATGCCTGTCGCCCCGCCCGGGGGCCCGGTGCCCGCCGCTCCGCCCGGGGGCCTGATGCCTGTCGCCCCGCCTGGGGGCCCGATGCCTGTCACCCCCGCCCGGGGGCCCGGTGCACGCCGCTCCGCCCGGGGGCCCGGTGCCCGCTGCTCCGCCTGGTGGCCCGCTGCCTGCTGCTTCGCCTGGTAATCCGATGTGCCTCTGCCCGGAGTCCTGCCCGATGTGCCTCTGCCCGGAGTCCTGCCCGATGTGCCTCTGCCCGGAGTCCTGCCCGATGTGCCTCTGCCCGGAGTCCTGCCCGATGTGCCTCTGCCCGGAGTCCTGCCCGATGTGCCTCTGCCCGGTGTGCCTCTGCCCGATGTGCCTCTGCCCGGAGTCCAGCCCGATGTGCCTCTGCCCGGAGTCCAGCACGATGTGCCTCTGCCCGGAGTCCAGCCCGATGTGCCTCTGCCCGGAGTCCTTGAGGGGGGGGGTGTGCCGCTGCCCGGAGTCCTGCCCGGTGTGCCAGTCTTTGATATCCCGCCAGTTACCAGACCCGGGCGGTGGAACATTTTGCCCAGCTAGGACTGTTTGGAGCGTCCTGAGGCCGCTCCTTGTTGTGGGGGGGTACTGTCAGGAATGGATTGGCCAGCAATGGTGGGACTCACCTGCTTTTTGATCTGCAGTACCAGGGCTGGCCAGCGGGTGCTCCCAGCAATCAGAGACTCAACCTTTCAGCCAGCTAACACCTGGAACTGATGATACTGGTGTATTTAAGGGATGGCCAGACTTGCAGACTCTGCCTTGCTTGTGTTGTGTTTGTCCTGGGCCCTGTATCTGTCCTGCATCCTGTTTCTGTTCCTTTGCTGACCCTGGTTAGTGTTAATAAATTATATTGTTTATCACATATCTGAAGTCTGCATTTCCCTGCGTCAGTCACACACCTCTGGTCACACCTGGGAGCCCTGACACTTACGGACAACTGTTTGGTCTACATGTGCGTTGACCTGACACATTTCCTATATACAGTACTGCTAGAGACATTTAAGAAAAAGAGCTTTGAAGGAGCCTACAGTCTGTGGATAGTACATTCACATTGTTTTAAGAGTAACGTAAGTTCCTGGTGGGTATAAACAATAGAGTGAGGAAGTATAGGAACACTGGGCTGGAATAAAGGGGGATAGTAATGAGAGCTTAGAAGAAACAAGATGGGGTATAACAGAGTGAAAAAGGAGAGAAAGAAAAGGATTGCAAGTGAAAAGAAAACAGAGTAAAGTATGGAGTGATAAAAGAAAAGGAAGACAGTGAAAAAGAGAAAAGAAGAGAGGGAGAAGAAGGAAAAAAATTAAAATTAAGAAGGGATTTCAGAGGTAAAGGACTGTATAAATAATGTTAGGTGAAAGAGAACTATTTTCTGTCTATGTAACTTGTCTATGTTCCCTATATTCCAAACGGACAACCTGGGTGCTGACTACCACATCCCTTCTCCACTTTCAGTCAAAAGTATGAAAAGTATAAGCTGCAGTCCAGAACTTAGCTTTTCTTTCTGTGTTTAATTTGTAAAAAAAAAGACTGGGAACATTGATGTCTGCACCTGAAATCAACCTTCCTTGACATGATTCACCACTACTGGTTTGCGCACAAGCAAATTAAACACAGAAAGAAGAGCTAAGTTTTGGAGTGCAACACACACTATATTGTCAAAAGTATTGGGATGCCTGCCTTTACACGCACGTGAATTCAATGGCATTCCAGTCTTAGTCCATATAGTTCAATATTGAGTTGGCCAACCCTTTGCAGCTATAACAGCTTCAACTCTTCTGGGAAGGCTGTCCACAAGATTTAGGAGTGTGTCTGTGGGAATGTTTGACCATTCTTTCAGAAGCGCATTTGTGAGGTCAGGCACTGATGTCAGACGAGAAGACCTGGTTCACAGTCTCTGCTCTAATTCATCCTAAAGGTGTTCTGTCAGGTTTAGGTGCAGGCCAGTTAGAAGTTCCTCCACCCCAAACTCGCTCATCCATGTCTTTATTGACCTTGCTTTGTGCACTGGTGTGCAGTCATGTTGGAACAGGAAGGGGCCATCCCCAAACTATTCCCAGAAAGTTTGGAGCTTGAAATTGTCCAAAATGTTTTGGTATGCTGACGCCTTAAGTGTTCCCTTCACTGGAACTAAGGGACCAAGCCCAACCCTGAAAAACAACCCCACACTATAATCCCCCCTCCACCAAACTTTACACTTGGCAGAATGCAGTCAGGAAAGTACTATTCTCCTGGCAACTGCCAAACCCAGACACGTCCATCAGATTGCCAGACAGAGAAGCATGATTCGTCACTATAGGAAATACATCTTCACTGCTCTAGAGTCCAGTGGTGGTGTGCTTTACACCACTGTATCCAACGCTTTGCATTTCACTTTCTGTTGGGTGTGGATGCAGCTGCTTGGCCATGGAAACCCATTCCATGAAGCTCTCTACACTCTGTTGTTGTGCTAATCTGAAGGTCACATGAAGTTTGGAGGTCTTAAGCTATTGACTCTGCAGACAGTTGGTGACTTCTGCGCACTGTGTGCTTCAGCATGCGCTGACCCCTCTCTGTCATTTTATGACCTTAGACAGGTTGAGAGAGCACAATCAGCATAAACCAACTAAGAAAATGGGAGTCATAAACTGGCAAAAGGGGTAGTCTCTAGATGGAGGTGATACTATATTCTGCAGGCAGTGAAGATGCAGTTATAACTAAACAGAGCAACACTTGTCAGCCAGGGTTGCGTGCACCCTGTGATGTCAGTAAATGCAAGGTGAAATCAAGCAATAGTAATCTCAGGTAAAAGGATCTGAGTACAAGGGAGAGTGAGGGATAGTAGCAGTAGTTCTGATATTAAGAGTAGATGGGCTGGCGGCCTGTTCACCAACTCCACGTGACCTTGCAAAGTCTTGTGGTGGCAGGGGGGCCCCATTTTAAAGCAGGTTCCTGATGACAGTGACCCATTCAACAGTTCTGCAGGATACAAAGTGGTTTGGTGAATTCAGCAATCCTATGGCAGCAGCCTTGGTCTGTCAACTGCATGAATAGTGATGCCGACCACAACAACTTAGGCCTACACTCAGGCCTTCTCATGTGACTTGTTCCAATAGGTCTGTTCTGCTCCAATTCCTGTGGTGCGAAGAGAGTGGGCTTTTCCCAAACAAGGAATATAAAGCCCTCCTAGCTCCTTCTGCAGCACATGGGCCATAGAAATTCATAGTTTAAAAGGACAGCATCTGATCAGTATGGCTGCTTTCTCAAGCTGCATCTCCCAAAGTTCCAGAGGTTCTATAGTATAGTCTTTAAACTTGGAATGATTTGATTCTCCCCCTGCTGGCTGGAGGAGAAGAAAGCAACAGCAGTGAGACAGTTGCATTTTGGAACAAGGTCTTTAACTCAACTGTGGTAGTCCAGTACCTGGCTACAACTGTTTTTGTGTGTTTTGTGACAATCGGCACGTAACTGGGTACCTCTCACTGTCTGAACAATTCGCCCGCTTCCCCTCTGTTGCACTGTGTGCTTGTCCTGGATTGATCACGCATGAGTTTAGATGTCTACCCAATTTTTTTCTTGCCAGTGATGAAGAAGGAAGAAGACCCTTTACACCCACATATTGTGGCTGTCAATCATCAAGCTGGGTACTGGCACAACAGTACAGAATGGGGGAGATGTCTCCTGCTTTTCAGTTACAAATGGGCATCTGTGGCTAATATAAGTAACTGTATATTTTGCAGTGCTTCATTGGAATTGGAACCATATAGCATTACAATAATTCCATATGTACTGCTGCAATTAACACTTCATAAATTATAGATACTTCCAATCCAGTTAATTAAAACGATGAGATCAGGACAGCTGTAGTATAAAGCAAGTGAGATATATACAGTGAAAGTGTTTCTTATTCTAATGAATGGATTAAAAAAATAAATTTAGAGTCAATTGCATTCTTTTAAAATTGTTCTAATTAAACTAAGAAAAGTTAATCCAAAGTGAGTCTTAAAGAAGCTTTGCACTTAATATGCTGGCTTAATTCTTAGATTTAGCTAAATCCTAAACTGATTCTAGCGTGATGGTAATATACTCTTGCAGTGTTTCATTTGTGTTGTTTTTGCATGTCTGTGACCCAGTTGAAAAAGATTTTCTCTGCTAACACATAGGAAAAGTTATTTTGATATAAGTTAAGAAACTGCTTGCTGATTTCAACATGCATACACTTATTTCTTGTTAAAATCAGCATGTAATGGGGCAGTTCATTTCAAATGGTGCTTATATTTGCAGACTTTTAATTCTACTGCTATATAAAAATTAGTATTTCTTTAATAAAGGGTATCATCTTAAATACTGCTATCCAACCTGCCTTGCTTCTTTCTGAGCAGCCAACATTCAGATTCTGTACTTGGTATGAATAACATGCAAAATGCCTTCTC